GATCGTCCCGGTACACCTCCATGAACACATCTCTGACCTGTGACCACACGGTGACACATGAACACAATCACGTGTATACTGAACATTTTCAGAGTCAGTATCTGTTCGTTTTGACTTTGTTGCCTCACGTTTGAAATGTTCAGGAGTTTGTCTGTGGGCACCTGCTGTGCAGGTGTTTGAACTGAGGAGCTGGTGTGTTCTTGTGTTTGTGGCTCCAGATGTTTCAGTGGTCATGACTGTACTCATGCCCCCTGCCATACTAGCAGAGATGCTGCTTTAACCTGTGAGCTGAGAAGCTGTGGTGATTCCTCTCCTCAACCCAGAGGGATTACCACAGCTTCTGCTCAGCGCCAGTCCACCTTAAATAAGCTCAGAGGAGGTGGAGGTGTTTGTGGTTCAGTCTGAGCTTCCTGTGTGGATGCAGTGATGAGTTCATGATGATGGTTCTCGGACGCTCTCAGATTCAAAATGAGCAGATGAGTCTGTGTCCATGTAGGAGAGAGACTTTACCTCATCACTGACGTCCATCCGTCTAAAGGCCTGTATGGCTGCCTTTTGATGTGACAGTGGGACTTCTGCTTTCTTTGCACATCGTAAAATGGACGAGATCAGGCTGGGGCTGACGGCTTGCATGGCCTGACCCATGACCCCAACGACCTGCAGATTAGAAATCAACATTTATGTGGAGGACTGAAGCCCCGAGACGGCTTTCAGCAGAAGAATACGTCCATGGATGTAAAACTACACGGCACGCTTCACGTACCCTCAGGACAAGGAAGGACATCTCTGCGGGGTCAGAGTCGTAGCGTGGGACTGAGCAGTCGTTTAACAGCACCTCCATGAACTTTGACACGTCTGTGAGCACATCCGTGACCTCCGGCGTTACTGTGTTTTTATGGATCCTGTGGATGAAAAAGAGTGTGGTCAGCTGCTCGGGTCAGATGATGCTAAACAACACCACGCTGTCTGCCGGCATGGTGACGACCACGCCCTGTCGGCCTTTTATGGCTGACGACGGTTCCACCTCCGTGACCGATACTTCCTCATGTGTGACGCTGAGACATGGGGACCATGGGTCTCCCTCTAGTGGTCACCTGAAGCACTGCATCAGCCTTACTTACTTCTTCACTGTGTTGGCCAGAGCGTACATGATGGGCTTGCTCTGTTTATACTGAGCCATGCTGAGCATGTCTCGCACACGTGCAGCATCAGGGTCAGCCCGCAGGCTCAGGGCGTAGACCAGAGCGTCCGTCTCCAGGGAAACGCCGTCGATGGTCCGGATAATCTGCAGGATGGCGCTGGTGCACTCTGAGGTCCCGCACTGGAACAGGGCCTGCCAGGTGAGCCAGCCCGATGCCGCTCGCATCTCAGGGACCGCCCGGCTCAGGGTCTCGTTCCTCAGGGCGCGCAGGCCGGACACCAGCTTATGGAAAAGCCCCGCCCTTTTTTGACCCTGGTCTGAGCCTGCTAACGTCACCAGCTCCCGTAAGGTGGTCAGAACATCGTCTCCCGTCTGCACTGGAGATTTATCTTCAGGGTCTTCAAAGTGAAGGGGCCTCACCTGGTCACGCTCCACACCTGCACACAGACACATGTGATGTCACTTATTCACTTCCCAGTAAGAGGTGAGTCTCCCAGTAAGAGGTGAGTC